CTTGAGACAGAAAATTTGGGTGAGGTGTCGGAAAGGCCAAGGGGTCCTCTGATCAGATCTCAAATTAATATATTGCTATGCTTGTGCATTCTGTGACCTGCTTTTGCAAACAAATGTGTAATGTGTATACACCTGTGCAGTGTTTGTAAGTAAAAAGATTAAGCCTGAGCACTTCTGTGTGCATCTGACAATAGGATAGGCAGGGCTAATCCTTGCAACTGTTCTAAACAGAAAATAAACTGTGATTTAAAACCAGTGATAGCTGGATCTCCTTGCCTGGTAAAGACGTACAGGGTCTGGAATTCCTCTACTAAGAGGACTGAGAAACTAAAGGTAGTGCTTACTCATTAAATTTTGCCAGACAGCATTAAAAGTGAATTCTAGATCCACTCTCTGTGTTGTTTCTAAAGACCAGACATAAAAGGGTACTACCAGAGAAGTAACAAACCTGCCGACAGTCGTCCCAGTAGGGATTGCATGTTCAGACTGGCTGCGAAGGAGAAATGGGCTCAGCGTGAGCTGCTTTGCAGATGAAGCCCCATGCTGTGTGTTAAGAATGTGTCAAGAAAACTCCTCTAGTCTACATATTAGGAAACTCCTCGACAAGTTTTATGTATGATTCATATTAGAAACTTACACAGAAACCTTTCAAGACTCAGCAAATCTCCCATGTCAGAACTGCATTCTCTAGCAATATGGCTTTACTGGCAATGTGTTGAGATTCAAGTTTCTGAGTGCAGATTGTGCTCTGCATATAAATAGATCAGCCCCTAAATGCTCATGAAAATCAGGCTGGAAGCGCCTTTGAGGCCTGACAGTCACCCATCTCCTACCCATCTCTACAGCACCTTTAGCGTGAAAGGTATTATATAGAGATGCAAAATGCCTGTGCTGCAAGAACTTACAATTTAGTTGGATGTCTCAATGTAACAGCTTACAAGGGATGGGTGATGTAGGGTCAGATTCCACCACCTCAGTCAAGAGCAGGAGCTCACTCTGCAAACAGTCTGGTATGGACCAGGAGAAATGCTGGGAGTGGGTCACAGTGGCTGTCACTCTCCTAATTGCAACACAATAATTAATTACTGGAGCCAGTACTGTGGAGAGGTTGGATCGGATGGGGAGGAACCGCCTGTGGAAGAGCACCACGTTTCTGCAGAATGTAGATCAAGAGCATAATACTGGTCCTGAGGGACACACACTCTGCGCACACTCACCTCCCACTCGTTGGCTTCCAGGCAGAAAGGACCCACTCCAGGGGTTTAGTGCTCCAGGGGGACAAAATGCACACTGATTGAAAATCCCGATTTTCTGTTAAAGCCTTTGCAATGACCAGCTTGTATGACTGTAAAAATGCCATTTATGATGATAGAAATTTAAACAAAGCAACACAAAATTGCCTTATGTGCAGTTGATCTGTGTATCGCGTTGTTTCTCAAAAGAAGGTAAACTCCGCGGTAGCACTATGACACATGCTATTCTGAAAATAATTTTTATATATGTTAGGAACCTTCTCTGAATGTCTAAATCACTGGTTTTCTTCAAACGCTAATATATGCTTTGCCACCTATCGTGTAGGACCTAGCAATATGTGGCAATAGACTTCAATGAGACCAGGCATTAACTGCACAAACAGAGCTCCACTAAAACTGCATGAATTTTTTGGGGGGAAGCATTGAGGAGAGAAGTGGGATGATGACCTAGAGGTGTTTTAAAGGTAGCAAGGGCAGAAAGAAGCTCTCATCTCCAGGCCATGGCTTGGAATCACACCCCAAGCTGTGGTGTCCTGAAGCCAAATTCAGACCCAGGACTAGAAGCTGCCTCTGAAAAGCAACGTGATTATTCCTGCTTGTTCCAAGATTAGCACTGGTCCCAGAAGTTCTAGTGGCCATCAGAAGAGACCACATGAGCTGAATGAAAAAAAGCCCCAGTAATTCTCTGGCCTCGGCATGGTATCTGCATAAAAAGCTTGAAGCTGCTGTCATGCCATTTTTGATCAAATAAGCAGTAGATTTCTACTGGCAAAACTATAGTGTATGAAAAAAAGCTCACTTTATTAAAAAAAAAAAAATCACACCAAACTTTCATTTTTAAATGGACAAATTCTTATTTTTTAAACGGCCAAATTCATCCATTTCCATTCATTCTTTGTTTAACTAGCAGAAAATAAAGGAAAAATCATAGAAAAAGAAATTCAGAGGCATTAATAATATATTTCTTTAACTTCAAATTCCCACGTGTTCAATAAAATCTTTAGTGGATTATGGTGGATTAGCCTAGAAATATTGCTTAAACTTGTATTTTGTTATGAACTCTTACCTCAGATAAATGAACAGAGGAAAAACATTGCCTGTAAATACTGCATTTTAAATACACTTTTTTTTAATATCTCTTTCTATACTGTGGGAAATTTTAACTCCCATTAAACTTTGCTTTAATGCAAACATTCTCTTGTTTTCTACACTAAGAATGGAATAAAGCACATGACTCAGATCTGCGTGGCTGTATCTCAAGTTATGTATTTACCATTCCATTTTTCACTAGTTTGCCGCCTTGCCTTGTAAAACCCCATATAACATTTGACAGAGAACATCTAATCCCAGACGAAATGGAAAAACTTGACCTCTTCCTATATATATTTGCAGAACTGTACAAATCTAGGTTCCCAGCAGGCTGACGCTTTGCTCTCTTATGCAAGGCGAGCGATTGCTCACAACCCTGGCAAAGGCAGTACGTGGCCACCAAGCAGCCTGTTTTCTCATGGTGGGTCTCACCTTCAGGGGTGCTGCTCACCCATGGATGGGCACACGATGAGACCCTCACCTGCCTCCTTGTGGAACAGAAAGCAATGAAAGACCCTATTCCTCATCACGTACATCAACAGTATTTCAGCTGTTGGCTTCAGAGGTCATGAAATAAGACTTCCCAGTGCCATCAAAGAGCTACTCTGTACATTGCAGAATAAGGTCCTGCAGTGACTAAGCCTGCGGGAGACAATCTGCCTGACAACAACAGAGTGCTTTTATGTGGAAGTGGGAGTTGAACATGTCAGGGATAGGGTCTGTTTTTGTGGCGTTCCTTTGCTCAGCAGGTAAAACTTGGGTTGTACAGGCTGTGTGTGTTTGTTTATTCCCACAGTAATGTTGCTGCACACCAGAGCAGCAAAGATGTCTGTAGCCACCTATTGAGAGGTTTTACCTGACTCAGACTATCTAGTATTTTTTTTATTTATCCTAACAGCATCCTGGAGCACCACCAAAAACTGGCCACAGTGTTAACAAAACATCTTGTTTGGTCTGAAAGAAATCAAACTATGTTATGCAAAAAATTGTATTTCCTCCTTCTGGAAACCTCTCCAGAGACTGGTTGTCTGTAATGATTGAACCTAAGTTTCCAAACAAACTAGTGGATACATAAAGTTTCCATTCACTTTCCAAACAATTCCATGGGCAGCAAAGAATGGCTTATTTCAGTGGAAAATTCCTTGCTACTTTCTACACAAGATCTCAGGTTGCTAGAAAAGAAAGGCTGTTTTTCTTCTTTCTTACCCTGGTAATTCAATACATTTGTCTGGTACAACTTACGGTTGACAAAAAACAGCTAAGAAAGAACAGTTATTTAGACTTCCATCAGAGAGAAACTTTTTGGAGTTGCGAGAATTTAGTTACAGAAACTGGGGCTTTGTGAGATGCTAGCAAATTGCTCTGTGCTTTAGTAACCATTACCCTAAGAGCTTAACCCTTAGAGCAGCTGCTTAGCATGCACATCGTATTGTACCACGTCTCTATTACCTACATCATAGAGGCCAGGTAAGATTTTATACACAGCCTGGAACACGCAATTTACTGTTGGACAGAATAGCCAGGATTCGCATTTCTGCATGCAAGCTGCAGGTTCAGATTTTGAATGGTTAACCCTTGCTACTCGCTTCATATTTGTCTTGCTATATATCCGTAAGCTGTGAACAAAAACATCTGGCAGCCAGGTCCTCCATTCCCTCCCCCAGCAAAGCATGGCTTTGAGACCCCTGAGTGGATGGTAACCATTTATGACCCCTAGAGAAACATCTGGCATTTCAGAAAAGGCACACAAAAATGACATTATCAGAAGAGTCAGATCCAGCACTGAACACAAGCCACAGAAGTCTATACCCTAAGCGACTTTAGAGGTACTGAAATGTACTTTTAAGACCTGAGTCCACCGACATTTGCTCCTAGTCTCTGCAAGAACTGTGTCATGATCATGTTGTAATCTCCTTGTCAAGTATGCCAATAAAATCCAGAAGTGTTAGAAACATTCCAGTGAATGTGATACCAATGGGGAGTGAAGCTAAAACCTGTACCTTGCATGCGACTGATGATGGATTAGCCTTTGAAAGCTCCCCTGAGCCTACCTGGCTCCTAGGATAGTTTCAGAAGAGCCCACAGGGTCACCACATTGATTCCTTGAAGCACAGAAAAATAAAATCCTGCCAGGAAGATGAAGGAAGAGAGAGAAATCACTTCTACACTCCCTAACATCAGCCAGCTATTGGAGTGCATGCTGACATCTCTCAATCCCTGCCAAAACAAAGTGACACTATTGCTAAAACCTATTCAGCTACAGAGCACCACATTCTTTCTTACAGACAGCTCCAGAGTTTTGATTCAGCTCTTGATCTCAGCTGACAGCCACTGCTGCCCTCCTGCCAGTGTGTCTACGGGCTTGGGTACAATAGGCAGCAGGAAAGAAGGGAAAGGGAGAAAATAAAATTAAAATGTAACTTCTTTTTTTTTTTTTTTTCCAAAATGAAGAATTGAATTCTTTAACCTTTAAACATGCTTGTTTACTTACAGAAAGAGTATTTCAGGCACAAAAGGTTTGAGTATCAGTCACATACCAGGTTAAATTGTAATAGTATGAGGATTGTCCCATGCAGTGCAGTCAGCTATATTTATCCCCTATCAAGAAGTTGAAGTTGCAGTTTTTGTATACATACATATATATAAAGTATGCATCTTTCACACTATGGTCTCCTGGTCTGAGTTGACTCCAGTGGGGTTTATGTAACAACAGTATCTGTCATAAGGGCTGTTCTCCTTGTAAGAGCAGACAATGATACTGTCTTTAGGAGCAACAAAAATGTTGTCTTCGATGTCAGGGCAATCAGCGTTGTCCCTGATGGGAGAAGAGCTCTTCTTCTCCAAGGCACTGTACATGGAGCCATCTCCTACGAACACATTCCCCGGCATCTCTGGGTAACAGGTCTCCAGGTATCTCAGCATCTCCTCCTGCTCCACCTTTCTGATGAGGCTCTTGCATTCTCCCATGGTGGTGGTGGTGGTGGTGGTGCAGATGGACACGGAGTCCTCACCCCGCAGCACTCTCCTGTCCTTCTGATATGCTTTCTTGGCCAACTCATCGCAACTCCCCTTGCCAGACTCCAGATCTGAGGGGGTCCTCAGCAGCTCCATGACATCCCGGTCCTTGACTTGCTTGCAGCATGGACACTTGTTCTTGGGCCACTTGGTACAGCCGTCGGTCTTTCTGGTGAGGGCGATGGCAGCGATGCCCGGCAGGCAGATGGCCGGCCCGATGGCCAGCAGCGGGATGTCCCCCAGGGTCTCTCCCTTGATGCCGGACACGGTGAACATAAAGCCAAACACCAGGAAGACGCTGACCAGAGCCACCACCAGCCCCGTCCGGGGGTTGATGTCATCAGGTCTCATGGTCCGCACCATCCTGCCGGTGTGCGAGGGACCACTTTCCTCCACCGAAGCAGCCCCTCGGGGCCAG